TTCAAATCTTAATTAATTTCACCGGTTTTTTACAAAGATTAATATGAAAAAAGCTTGAATTTCCCTCCTGAGATATCTTCATTTCAATCGCGCTATTTATTTGATTATTTTTTATGAGATGCGTTTTAATTAAAAAATTATGAATAAATGGATATACAATGATTTTATTCTTATAAATATTACATTCTTATAAACTCTATTCTAATAAAACTTATAAATTTTATATTCTTGTAAATTCTTCTAAATTATATTGTTATACATTCTTACAAATATTGTATTTCTATAAATTCTTAAAAATTACATTGGAATACATAAAATATAAAAATGTTTATATTCTACTACATACGGTACGTAAAAATAAAAAGTTAGATTCTTGACGAAAGTTTTTCATGTACAAATTAGCTATTAATTTAAATTAGTTTTACATTAAATCAATTCTTTTTTGCATTGGATTAAATATTTCTTTTTTCGTTATGTAATATATATACATATGAACCTGTTTTGTCTAATAACTTCAGAAAATATTCTAGTGAAATCTATACGTACTGCTGCTCAAAAATATTTATAGACTTGCTGATTTTAAACAAGATTTATTTTAGTTAAAAAGTTACTAAATCTAGAATTATATTGTGGATTGACGAACTTTTTTTGTAATATCTTATAAAAAATTTGTCGTATTCTATGGTATTACGATAGTATGATATCGATGAAATAAAATATGTATGTTAAAATTGATAAATGTTGTTCACACGAGCATTGATCCTTAATGAAAATCCATCGTCACAATGAACAACGCTGAAAGCGATTTTTTTTACTTAACTAGAATTTTCTGTGCCGCCTGAAGGTTCGCAACTGACGTAAGTTTGTTGGCGTGGAGATAAGTTGCGCTTGAAAACCGCGATAAAGGATGTTCGTCTTCGTCTCTGTTTTACGTCAAACGAATTTCCACGGTGGATGAGGGGCGAAGGGCCGCAGGTGGATGTACTTTATCGATTTTGGCATACCAGACAAGCTGCTTGTGCTTTCACAGCGATAATCCGGCTACCGCTGCTACTGGCTGGGTGGTGCGGCTTAAATCGCCCACTTGAAAACTTCATCGACACGCTGCACCCCTGTAACTTTCCCTTGGCTTGTCCCGCTCTGAGAACCGCGTTTTATTTCAAAAATTGAAGAATATACAACGTTTAGTGTGGGGAGAGAAATTGATTCGTTAGATGACAGAAACAGTTTTACGGAAGCATTAGAGAATTAGCTCTGCAGTTCCCATAAGAACTTACAAGTAATATTTTTTTACTTGCTTCTTTTACTTACTTTGCATGATATTACTAAATTAATAATTTGTAGGTTTTAATGCATTCTAGTTCGTATTTAATTGAAAATGTTGCTTCTACTTGGATTCGTAAATGGTAGAGAAGTAACTCCCCAGTTCTCATAGATACGTGTTACTTTTTATTTGTTCTACATTGTAACGCGATATAACAAACAAATTAACAATTTGTACATTTTTTATTACGTTTCAGTAATTAGTTTGTACCTATTTATTTTGAGTTTGAAAGTTCCGTATGTATACTTGAATTTGGCTAATTCCGAGTTGAACAGAGGCGAATAATCCACAAGAGATTATTTTACATGTAAGAATAAATCGAAAATGTGGAATACAATTTTTTATATGTTGCATCGTTTCCGAGAAAATAAAATTCACGCATATAGCAGGCCAATTGTTAACTAAATACGATCAAACTTTATTTTTATCGAGAACAAAGCTTTAAGCGGAAAAATATTATTCTACGTTCTTAACTTAGAATAACCTATTAATTATTTATTCGTACTTACTCGCTAATTAGCTAAGTTCGTATGTACCAAGCAAATTTTCAAACTCAATTTTCTGGAAAGCGGAGAGTTGTATGAGAAAATGTTCTACATTTCCGATTTATTTTTTCACATAGAAGCATCCTCTTGCTAATTGTATCGCGATTGCCAGAAAATCCCGTATAATAGGTCAAAAAATGTTTTCTTTTAGAAATGGAAAATAAAAGGAGAGAAGGAAGTGCATTTCGATTCTTATAAGTGACGGTGGAAACGCAGCTTAAGTAGGATGTCCCGGCACGAAAGGTCGCGTGCATCTATCCTCCAGGCAGGAAACTAGGTTAACCATCGCGGAATCGACGTAATGACTCCCAATTAAAATGAAATCAGAGGCGAATTTAATCGTCGTTAGATTTTCTTTACTCGCGTGTTCCTGTTCTTTTTTGTGTTTAGGGTGGTAGGTGGTTCATGGTACTAGAAAGGAGAGAAATAATTATTTGTCGAGAAGTATGTAGAAAGTGGTAGGGAAAGTTTTTATGCAAGAGACTTTGCCTTCGAACGGAGATTAAAGATTCGAGTTCCTATTTAAATTTCATTTCTTACTTCCTTAGTTTATACTTCATTTTTCTTACGTTATTTTTATTCCACATATATAAAGTGCACTGGTATACAATCTGCTACGTATGAAATCTATTAAAATGCAATTTAGTCTTCTCTGTTCTCATATTGTATTTTTATATAAATGGAATGTCGATTTTATTGAAGATGAGTGATGTTTCTATTTATCGTTGAGTATATCAATTTTAAGTACTAAAATCAGTGTCAATTGGTTTATGTTGTTATTTCTAACTCCTTATAATTTTTTCGGTCACAATTAAAAAGTGCAGGGGGAAAACATGATAATATTAAATATTAAATATATTAGTTTATTAGTTGTCAGATCGAAATTTATTCGAGTTGGAACTTTTAGACGTTAACGATTAATCTACATGTGAAGTCAGCCAATGATAATCAGTAACAATTGAAAAGCACATGATAAAATTTATTAATTAAACAAAATTTCATAGATTTATCTATCTTTAAAAAGCTTATGTGGCGGACGCCGACAGGTCGAGGCATCAACGCGGCCCAACACCTCCCGGGCGAGCCGCTGGTACCAACTGCCAACACTAGAGGGCTACGACGACAACGAGTCTATCTAACTCGCTAGCGGTCGAATATACGAGCGATTGATACAAATACCGCACCTAGCGAGACTTCCTCTACGTCTAAGGCAGGGACTACCGGGCATAGCCTTACTGACGAGTCCACCGGTAGTCCCGGGACGAAACGCAAATTCTCTTTCCATCCGCCACACTTATATTGCCTTCAAACAATCTTAGTTACTAATTACAAGCAATATCAAAATTAAAAAATCAACAAGAATATATTTATCATATACTCTTCAATTAATAACATGTTAACCAATCGTTACTGTCTCCAGGTTCCTTTAGAAATCAAAGAAATTTCAATTCAACAACCCTAATCTCACAAAATATGTCACGCTAATAATGTAATGTAATCTGTAGAGATTACATTACATGTAATGTAATCTGTAGTGTTACGTGTGACAAACGAATCGGAAATTTAATCCGGGTAATTTTTAGTGCATAGATGGTACCTATATATTTCTATTGTATTGTATATATGTTATACTAATGTATTCTAAGTAAGCATATCAGTTGCAAATTGACATCATACGGCCCTGGATAGTTGGTTGAAACTTGTTCGTCCTCAGGAATTGCTGAATCGATGATCGAAAAAGCGTATGAATTCGATTAGCTGATTTTGGGGTCATTCTAACTCTTCATTTAAATATAATGTAAACATATATATATATTTATTTATCTATTTATATGTTTAGAAGATATTGTTGATTACTATTTGATTAGTAGGCATTAGATCAGTATCATACAAGTATCGTAAATGTTTTCAATAAGATTTACATAGGTTAACAAACTGTGGAGTCAATATGTAATTGCTTTAGTTAACTATACTGTATATTATAATCCTTGTAAATAGTTTCAACAAACTTTTCTTATGTATCCATATTAAATTATAATCTTGTTAAAAACAAATTTTATTGTATTAATCGCTTTCTTGCTAATTTACGTTAATTTAGTTTACATTTTGTATATGCGCTGAATGTATTAATATTCTTTGGGACTGGGGGATAGTAGAATAAAAAACTTCCCGCCTTCTTGGTGCTTACACATATGCACAGTAGAATATCTTTGGTCCCACCTTAAAATATGAACACATCTCCAAGTGCAGCGGTTTACAATATATTTCACCGGTTTCGTGTTGCCACTGATATGACTAACACGCGTGATGCACAAGAAAAGGTATGTATTAATTTGGTTAGTAGCTGTTCATAATTCTCTCTAAAGTGGTAGAAATTTCAAATAAAATTTCAGTACAACTAGAGCCTTTGCGGTTTTTTAAATCCTGTGTTCTAAGAAGTTGATATACATTTCACGCTCTACGTGTACACAACCAGGATTTCTACCAATTTCCATCTTTCCGTGTTCTCGAAATCTCGCGAAGTAGAAACAGAGAGAAGTTGGAGTGTCCGCAAAATCCTCGAAACTTTTTCTCGAAATAGTCACGAAGAAGGTAGATAGAAGAAACAAGAAAGAAAAGGATCAGTCGATCGTTTGGCAGCATGCTTCTCCGTCTAACCACCTAACGAGCCGATTCTCAAGGAGCACACAGAGGCGGCTGGGGATCGTCTTCTGCTTCTACGTTCCTCTTCGTCTTTTCTCTCTTTGATTCGTCTGACTCCACCTTGGTTGACGACGAGCGCAACAGATCGTGGTTCTCAACTCTGAAGTAAGCAGTTGCAGTTCACCTTCCAAAGATGCTTAAATTCCCCCTCCCTCCTGCATGCTCTTGACTGAGGGAAACGGATGCGGATTTGTTGCCTTCTTCTGAGGCTTCGGTGCTTTAAAGCTGCATTTCGTTAATTTTCTAGCTGCTCTTGTACTTAGGCGCTGTTTCTGCTTGATTTATGATTAGGAGACTGGCTGAAACGTCGGTTTGTACGTGGAATAGGAATTTTCTGGGACTTAAAAATTGAAAGATACATAATCTATTTTTAAAATAACGTAAATATTTCATGCAACGTTTTATACGCAAATGAAATTAATTTATTTGAAATCAAATAAAATATTTGTTGCTTCACTATATAAACTATTTCTTACTGTTAGTATGTTTATTCGTTATCTAATTTTGACGAAGACAACAGATTTGTCAACATGCATCCTTACCAAGACTTTTACTTACTATGTACGACTGTTATTATGTTTCTTCCAGTTAATGGAATTAATTACCTTTTTTAAATGTCATATATAGGTCAAATTTGCAATCAATAAATAAACATTATTGTCTCAGATAATCTATTTCTCAATGTCTTATTCTCACAATTATTTGGTTAGCTTTAAACTTTTGTACATAACTAAATAAAGAACATGACATCAATTGAAATGCATTATTTATGATATAATACAAATTGAAATATTTATTTAGAAAGTTAAGAATATCACGTATTTAACCTTTTCGCATTTTCTAGCAGACCCTTTCTTATCAATGCCGAAAACCCTCCTCAAAATATTTCCATCAATACAGTTGCCAAACTCGAAATATCCCGATATTGCTTTCAATTCACTTCATTCAAATCAGTCAACTTATCCAAAGACGACAAGCTCATCATGGTGCAATAGTACGCTCGGTCACGCGCGACGCGTGTCGCAAAAGAACTGGAAAGTCGCGGATGTAAAAACGAAAGAAAACAACAGACAAACGGGAGAATGAACGAGAGAAGGTGGGACACAGAGAGACGAGACTCTGGGCGTAGGTAATTATCCATAGGAAGGTTGAAACTGGAAAGCAAAGTCGAAGGGTTGCCTTTCCCGTGAGAGGCGTGAATTACACAGCGAGGCAAGCGAGCCGGCAGACAGGCTCATTGTCCTCCGCTAGTTTAATTAATGCAGCTGAACCGGCAGCCTCTCGTTCCTCCTTCTCCTCTTTCCGCTTTCCCTTCGTCTGCATTCTAGCTAGCTGTCTCTCCTTTCTTCTCTCCGACATCCGCATGCTTCCAACTGCCACGATCTTCGATCATGTACAGAGAGATAGAGCGAAAGATGAGATACAGGTATAGAGAGGAAGAGGTTAGCTTTGGCGTGAGGGTGATCCACTGTGGTGTGCACTTGCTACACGGATTTCCACGATGATCTGTCAATTAGAGACGTGACAAGAGCGCTTTTGTTGGTCGTGAAACGACGCTGTTCAGAGAAAGCTTTATATGTACATACTTGGTTTTATGGGTTCTTGGAGTATGGCTGTTGACTTTTGTACAGTTGTTGCGAGGATTCGTACACAATAGTCTGAATACCGTTTGCTACTTGAGTGAAACAAACTTTCCTATGCACTTTCCTGCGGAATAAGGACATCATAATTATAGTTTTCATTTTTAAATATATTTGATTGCAGTTTCAATTATATAAAAGAATTCAGTAACAAACTTAGTAATAATAATAATAGTAAAGAATAATTTGTAATAAAAGTAATAAACATGTATTCTACAAAAACGTAAACGTTAAAATGAATGACTACTGGTCACTCAGGGGTTAAATTCAAACTTGATGTGTACTTAGACTTAATATTATATGTAGGTATAAACTTATTGAACTATCTCTTATCGATTATATCTCTGGATAGTTTAACAAGTATTCTGTCTCTAATAAAACTCTGAAACTAAACAATGTATAGCTGCTACAAAAAGGTATTAGCACATATCCTTATTTTCCAATGAGGCCTTCATTTATCAGATTCTACATTTCATTTTCATAGTATCCAATTCTTGTAGTTACACGAAGACATTGTTAAGTACTTACTTAATTTGTGTACTTCATAATACGAAATTTAATGTACTTGGACCTAATTACTGGATGTATGCTCATATAGATGCTATAATAAACATAACAGTACATCAATACTTTTTATAGTTACTGTACATCGAAATAAACATTCCATCATAAACGCTACCTTCTTCACTGATTTTACCAATTTTCACAAAAAGATTCTCCGTTCCCTCTATCAATCTCTCTAGCGTAAAAATATATAATTTTCCGGATGTTTCACTGCGTTTCAGTTGCGCGAGTATCTCGTTATCCCGGCACTCGTCTCTCGCGAAGCCACTCGGAACTGCGGCGTAAAGTCAAGCGAATGGTTACAAATTGAAGACGCTAATTTACACACGGTTTCGCACTCAAGCTTGCTTAGCTCCGCCGGCCTGGCTGGCTGCTTGCTTGCTTGCTTCTGCTTATTAACTCGCACAAGTTTACGAGCTAGCTTCTAACGGCTAACAAGGTAAACAATGTTTGGCAATTATTTCGGTTAAATGATCCTCCTGAGACGCGGCTGCTGGATACAACGGCCAGGTAAAGGAAACTAAGGTTTGAAGACACCTTTTACGTGTGTCTCCGCTATTTGCTCGCGTTTATCCTCGCCCGCCCCCCTCCCCCCCCTCTCTCTCTGCTTCGGTCTTTGAAATATTCCAAGTGAAACATTGTAGAAAGTAATGTTTTAAAAGAGAATAAACATGTGTGGTTACAAACAATGTCTACGCACAGTGATATTTATTATAGGATTTACACCAAAGTATAATTTAGGCCCAAGTATAAATGTCATATTATTTAGTAATACTTTCATAGGAGTAAAGAGATCAGGTATTATGAAAATGATAGAACCTTGTAAAAAAACATTTTATTAAAAAATAAAAATATATGTAAATATTTTGTATAGCTACTGTATATTGAATCTCAAAATCAAATAAAATTTTCGAATTTTTATGATCTCCAATAAAATATTGTTTATATAGATCGCTTATAGGTATATTAAGAAAAATATTAAAAAAGGGTTAAAAAAATATTAAAACTAAAATTTTATGTAACGTTCTTTTTAAATAGCATAATTTATTAAATAAAATGATGATACTAGAATCCTAGAAAATAATTTACTTTTAGAGTAAATTTTAGGCATCTCGGAAAATGTACAATTTTTAAAATATATGTATATTAATATAAGTAATATAATATAATTGATTTCATCGGTAGTCGTTGTGTTAAGTCAATATTAATAAAAATCTATATTATACGAACATTATTATTTATAACATTTCTTATCTCGGTTCTTTCTTTTATATTTATTTTCATTATCATGAATTTCTAATGATTTTTGTCTCAGCAGGGTATAAAATAAATCACAAATAGATTATTACGTATAATATCAATCGATTTACAACCATCACAGCAAATTACAATTCCGGTTACCATGCAACATGATTGACAAAGACGGAGAACACCTCAAACGCCGAACCCGTTTACGTCATTCGACTTAATTTTCCTGTCACTCGAGCTCCTGTAGGCTCGAGTCAACTTTACGATCGTTCGATACACGTTTCCTGCTTTCCTTGCTGGATAGTTGCCGCGTAATGTGCTCTCCTGTAATTACATGAATTATGTTCTGGTATACCCAGCTCTTCCTCTCTTATTTTTCTGTTAAACTAGTTTGGCTCTTTGTACACTCACTAATGTCCCAATCGGCTTTCCTCTTATGCAAATTGATTAACGGTGCATCCGTGCGGCGTGTTTATCTGTTGCCTTCTTCTTCTTCGTTGCGCTTTCCGTTTTTTCGCTTGTTCCTTGTTCTATCGTTTATATTGGTCGATAAATATGTATTCAGCGTACCTTGTATCTGATTATCATCGATAATTTTCAAAACTGATACACTCGTTCGTTGCAAAAATAAGGAGAATAATGTCTATCTATATTTTTGATGGTCGTTCGCTTGTTACAATTTAACATTTATAATATACGAGTTTATCTGGTAGATTCTTATAATATTAATACATAATAGCATTTGTAATATACTTGCTGTACTATACTTATGCAATATACTTATGCACTTGTTATATTATATTATTGTAAACAGGTATATGTATATAGTAATATGTGACATTTCGCACACCTCGATGACCGAATATTAGTATAATAATATAGTATAATAGCGACTCATTGTAGGATTAATTTATTTAGAAAGTTAGAATTAATACATATAAAAATACATAACGTTTTGACAGCATCTACATTCATTTTCGGGAATGATAATATTTCACAATCCACTTGAAGATTACACGAAGTATAATTGCTGCCGAGATAAGCGTTCATTGCCAAGTAATAAGAAATTGATTTGATAAAGTTCTATCAGAGAAAAACTAGATAGAAATAATAATTTTCATGTGATCATTATCTCTTAACTGGTATCATTTGATCATCGTGAACCATAAAAATTTAGGCTCAGATAATAATTTAATCTAGTAATATTAGAATTTTTAATTCAATTTAATTTTATTCAGAATGGAGAATGTAAAATAAAATGAAATTAATTTTAATAAATGTACAGGTCGAATTCAATCTCTCCGATTTCGATCATTTTTTGATATGTGGTGAAGATTGGCATGATTCTGTACAACAGTTTGAAAACAGAAGTTTCCAAGATATTTGCAAAAAACTATCGATACCACTACAATGAATTCTGCATACAGTTGTGCGCCCGTGACAGCATGTGCGTCAGTACTGGTTGCCAGCCGGCGGCCACTTATCTTCTGTTTACAAACGAGGGTCAGGGGAACTTAAAGACTCCTTGTACATTGTACATTTGCGAGTGTGTAAGAAATGTCTGTTACAACTTATAGTTCAATTAAATATGAATATCATCAATGTACATATTGGATTTGGGTTTAGGTTAGTTTTTACAAATGTATAAAATAATAAAAACTAATAAAAAATAAAATAAAAATAAAAAATAAACACTAATACAAATTCAAACTCAATGCATGAATGATATTTGCTTGTAATTGAATTGTAACGAATATTTCTTACAAGTATCGTGAACTGCACCTATCAAGTACACGCAGCGTTATTTTTTAACGATTTCATTCCTGGGTTAGAAAGCTATACCAGACCCGCGCACTTCTAGGACCATCGGAGTTGGGATACGTCCAACCAGCGTGTTTAGTCCCTCACCTTGCTATTTGTATCAGTTCCGGCCTACAGGAGCCTTCACTCGTCTCAGGTCGAACGAGGCGTATTTCCACAATCCTACCATCTCATCAGAACTGTACCGGAGTAGTTGGGGCGCTACTCTCTCGCCGACGTCCTTCAGGGAGACCTAGAGCCTGAGCCTGGCGACCCCCTTTGGCCATCTAGCTACCATTTTGCTATAAACCACCTCCCACGAGTCCAACACCAAGCGACCGAGAGCGGGTGAACCCCCGAGGCTGATCTTGGCCCCCGTGATACCAATCTAAGTCATTGGAGGGACTATCGGAATGGCTCGTCGGCCACGTCACTGCCAGCCGGATTCTCTGTAACCACCGTTACTCGACATGACCAGATGGGACCCACATAAGC